GACAAGATGCACGCGGAACGGTGTCCGATATACTGCGTTGGAGTAACCATACTAATCTCTGTTTGGCATTCCTGCAGGTATCAAATGATACCTCTAAGGTGCTTGAATGGTGAGTTATCTGACTTGATTGTTTAGCTGGACGTAGTCTGAACTTCATGATAGGTTCGTCAGCCTCACGGCGGCCACGCAAGTTATCAATTATGCTATCGTGACATTTACATATCTGAGATTTACTATGTGCTTTTTTGTTACACTTTCTGGTTCGAAGTGATGCTGACTTTTTTCAGGCCTTGGAGGCTCAGGGAATATCCCGAAGCAGCCTACCATTCCGTAGTATCCTTCAACCATTCTGCGGGTATATTCTCAGTAGTCTTTCCCTCGTCAAGGCTGATCATGTTCGCAGCTACTACGCCTTCGGGTTCACCCTCATAATGCCGTTCATACTGGGTTATTCGGTCTTCATGCCAGGAAATTGGGACACGACCACGTTCTTCTTTTCTTATACTATCATCGGTGTTCTTCCTATATTATTCATCGTCTTGGAAGGCCCTACATCGTACTCGGGTGCGTTTTTCGTTTTTCCGTTCTATAATCTGATAAGTTTCGTTAACGATCTATGTCCAGCTCATTCGACCGAAAGAAGTTACTTTCTTCGAGGAGGAAAGGAAAATCATAGATGACTATGAGCGTCCTTTGTTAACGCAGAAAGCAGAATGGACGCGTTTAAGAAGTGGGTGATTGGGTGAGCTGCGAGATTATTCATGAGCTATCGTATTGCAGATGTCATCTTGTCCTACAACTATAATTGAATGGCGGAGAGCCGCTTCCGTGGAATCTGAATTGGAATACCCGTGACTGATCGAGAACGCACGGACCTAAAGTGTGCACTAGGGGCTCTGCGCCAGACTTGTCATCCTCTTTCACCTACGTTGAACGAAGCATCTCGGCCCACCAAAAGTCTACCCCACCGCCGCTCACAGCTGCTTTGATTTCTCTGTGAGCATCTCTCTGCTATCCTTTGTGCAAATTTCCCTCCGGAGTCCTGTCCTGATCACTGCGCAGTCAGGAGTTTCCAATATCGCAATGCCCTCTCTTCCCCAAGAGCTGGTTGACAGGATCATCGATGAGGCCAGGGACGATATCCCGACTCTGCGGTCTTGCTCCTTAGTCTCTCACGCCTTCCTGCCTCGCACCCGCGTCACCTATTCGAAACCATAGATCTCAGCACCATTGACAAGTGCCAGAAATTCCACGCCTTGTGTATCACCTCCCCACATGGTCATCACCTACGTCAAGAATCGATCGATCTCTGCACACTCTACGGCGGTCGTAGGGAACGCATCCTCGAGGATCCTTCTTTCCCAGCTGTGATGGGACTCATTCCCGTATGTCAGCTCGAAAGGTTGAAAATAAACAAGTATCACTGGAGCGAAGTGAGTGAGTCTTCGAAGGAGGCGTTGTCACAACACTCCTTTCGCTCAGTTGTCCTTGACACGAACCTCCTTAAGGACGTTGATGCCCTGTACACTGTATTCAGCGGGTCTACAGAATTTGATCTGTCATTCGAAGGGATCATAGGGGAATCGAGCCCGTTTATCACTAATATGTCCCCTCCAGCGTCGGGAGGGTGGGTTTGGTCAAGCTGAGTCTGGAAGGATTACTGCGATCCCATTCTCGAGTCCATCATCGAAACTCAGACGTATCCCTTCTCGGTCAACAATCTGCAATATCTTCTCAATCATTATCGAACATCAGACTACTGTCGCTTCTCAAACAAATCTTAGATTTACCACTTCCGTCCCTAGAACATCTGAATGCGGCACATCACAGGAGCGTGAGTAGAACGTGTCCCGTCGTCAAACCAGAAACTGACACTTTACCAGGCTCGGTGGCGGCTACCCACCCGATTTTGAATATCTCGCGATTGCGCTACTATCAAATGTGTCGCTAGCGGAAGAAGGAATACTTCTGATCCTCAGACAATGAAGTGGTGGGTGGAAAACTTGAAGGAAGCAAAGTCCCACGTCCATCGAGAATATCGCTCTCGACGTATATCTTTCCAACTACGAACTGCGACCCTCCGGGACCCACAACGTTTGGGTCTGATTTGGCGAGGATCCTGTCTGGTTCCGACATGAGCAACAATTATAGATGTATCTATCGTCTTTAGGCTAGTTATGGCCAGGGAGAAAACATACAGCAGTACAAGACGGTGGTAGAGACAAAGATGGCTCCATTGGTCGCGCGAGGATCGTTTTCTATTCTGAACTCGGTAAGCTGCTTGCGCATCGCTTTTATTGCCCTTTGCTGAATAAAGCTGTTTAGATTGATATGGGACAGCTAGAGTCTCTTTGCAAATATGTCGTGGCGATCGATTGGATTTTTCTGTAATAGGCTGGTTATGTTCAGGTCAAGTAGAGTTCACTTGTAGTAACCAGGTGGTAAATGAAACGTCAAATAGACTACTTAGTTACTCCTACGCAGCACGCGAACATCGATAGGTGCTGATGGAAATAAGTAAAGAGGTGTTACTCTTCGAATACATCTAACTTCTACCACATGGCTTAATGCCCATCTTGAAGCCTACTATGACATCTATGGAACGATAGAGATCTCATGTTCAAGCCCGATACTGGGGGGATCATACTCAGATGCGGCGAGACTTATCTGTTCAAGGATTTTGATACGGAGGTGGTTGTGAAATACACTGACCACTTTGCGAACTCTAAGGAATTCTTGGCAGGGTTGCAACGTGAATGTCATATAAAGAGGTGGAATCGCTCGAAGATAGGGACGACGTGTATAACGACAAATATCATGAATTCATTTGTCTTATGGATAAGGTCGAGTCTAGTTTATCGTTGTAAAGCTGTTTATTTTATTGACTTTAAGAAGTGTGTGCATTGATATTCTAGTGCATACATAACTGCTCAAAATTTTTGTTGTAATGATGTATCTAATCCCAAAGAAGTGATGGAACGAGGACAAGAACTTTGGGTTTACAAGCGTCTAGCTAGAATGGAAGAAACGACATGCTGCTTCCCGGCCGGCGCAGCATACACCGTATTAATGCTGTTTGGAGGACTCCTTCGACATATCCTCCTTCGTATCTCCCTACAGAGTCCAAGCCAGGCTTCGAACCGTATAAGAGCAGACTTGACGGACGTTCGGCGAAGGTCGGTGGACATGGTTCATGACAGTTGTTCTCAGTGCCATGCACTGCAGAGAGCTCGGAGTCTTTGGTAGAATATCGCTTGATATCTATAGGAAGATAAATGGGAGCAGAACAGCCGCAGGAAGTTATGAGTCGTCGATGTAAGGATCGGATTCTGTCGCCTGCTTTTGGCCTCAAGTGCGAGATGAGAGGTAGTGATTCAATCTTTCCGGTTGAAGTGTGGTCTCCATCTGGCCGCTAGCAGAGTGTACCATTAGGCGTGGCTTCCAGAATATAGGCGGCGACATACCTTCGATTCGATGTCCAGAATCAGTTCCCTCTTCGATGTCCACTGAGAGCGGACTCGCCTAATGCGCAACAACGTCGTAGTCTTGTATACAACAAAGCTCGTGAGGAGAAATAGAGTGACGAGGATGAAGACAGTAAGCGGGATATTTTTTGTGCAAAGGATAAAGAATGAATAGGCCAGGGCGGATGATGTAGTGGCAGTCATCGAGATAGCTACTAGCCGTAAGATGCTGAAAATAGAATGGAATAGGAATGAGAGTGTTAGGGGAGGTGGGGTGTTGGCGATGCCTCGTGTAGGCTGGTTGTTGGTAAGAAGATGGATCCATGTTTGACGATCGTTCATTTTTCCGATGTTTTCCGGCCCGGGGACCGGTGGCAGGTAATGAATGCATCTCGCTAGCAAAAACAGTAGGTAAATTCCTCAGAAATTGCGTCTGATTTATGGTGTGGATTCGAACATGCAAGCTGGACTGAGGAATAGACCAAAGAAGGCTTCAAGTTACGCTTGAAAATTACGACCCGATGTTTATGTTACTGGATTGATTAGTTAGTTGAAGTACACAATTCGATTTTTTGGTCCAAAATTTTGGCGCCATGAGATCGTGGTTCCAATGGCGGTTGGTCCCGGGCGGAGGCATTTACCGTTTCCGGTTGCTCACCAACTTAACTTTAAGCCAGGCGCTCTCGATAACGTGGTGAGTCAACGTTTTGTCGCTAATTATAATTCCTCTAATATTGAAATATATTGCCGTTTTTATTGATAGTACAGGCAGCAAAAGAGATATCCCAAAACGAAACCCCTATTCAATTAGACGAGCAGAGAGAAAATTCCAGGGGCACGGGAAGCGAAGGCCCCGTCCTTCGCCTCCTTTTCCCAAGCGTCTGCTATGACATCAACGACTTTCGTTTCGATGCCACGACAGGTTCCCCGATGCTCAATCCAATCTCCCGGAACTACGTCGACATCGCAACCCAGACATCGTATGCTTTCGCCTTGTACCCGTGCCCACGGGCCCAAGTCCCTTTTCTTCGAGAAGTTTTGTTTGAGGGTGAATGTAGCATCCTTGTGGTAGCCAAACCCGAAAGAGTTGAGCTGGGCCTCGGTTAACGAGATTGGTGTGGTGTTGGAAGGGGTGTTAGCAGGAGGAGAGTCTTGGACCTTGGCAAACTCATCGGGAGAGTTCTTGTGGTGGATCGCGAGTACCTGACCTTCGGGGTGGAAGACATGCCACTCGCAACCGTTTGGGTAGTTGAGGCCGCAGCGACAAGGCCGTACGGAGATGGGTGTCTCGCCATGGAGTCCCTTCGGGATGAGAGAGACAGAGGGCGATTCGAAAGGCTGAGTTGATTTAACTTGGTTAGGCTTGGAGGGTTGCATGGTGGATCGGATGGTGTTTCTGAGCGCTGCAGGCCGGTCTTTTATATGTTCAGATCAAGAGCACCCTTACGTATTCTGCAATTGTCGGCACAAGAGTGGATAAGCTACCACTAGTCATGATGCGTGACGAATAGACGTCCTTGAACAATGATTGAATCCATGACAATGCATGGACATTTCGTGTACAAAACTTAAACTTAAATCATTGTTGAGTGGCAACTTTGCCGTTTGGAAAGCAGAACGCACCCATTACTGTAAATACCGCGGAATCTGTGGTATGTTCTTCCGAAATTTCTGTGTGCGGTTTTCTAGGGCTTATTTTTTGACTTCACGTTAATTATGAGCTGACATCGCCCTAACTATGCTCAAATTTTGGGATGAAATAGACTAGTCAATATATGTAAGATATATGTTCCGAGTGCTTCGAGTTTATAGTTCATTGATCCCTAGAAAAGGTAATTGACACACCTTAGAGCTGAACTTGAAGCAAAGTAAATATACCTTTTACAGCTAACGTATGACATTACTTGGTTGTCTCGCTACAGGCCCGGCTAAACAAAAATGATATTTGCCACACTAGGACATATAAAAGTGGGAGCTCTGCTCTCTGTCTCGCCTACGCTCTCACCAACTATGTCTTCCCAAGAAGTTTCTTCCGAATCTTGTACCCTGGAATTTCTCATCAACAAACGTCAGTTAATGCAACTCGCGTATCGCCCAGAATTTGAAAATCAGACTCGGGGATGGTACATGCAGGAATACTCCATTCCCCTCGTGAAATCTCGCCACCACAGAACGTTTCAGTCGATTTTCAAGATGAGTATGGTTCTCGGTAGGTTTTTATTGTACACTATGCGCATCTCATCCTGACGTTGATTACAGCCAAGGAGCCTTATAAGATGTGGGACGATCATGGCAATGGGATTGTCGTCACCACCGATCCAAGTTTCCCCGAACCTGTTGACATTTCGGTCCTATGGCATACTCTATACTCCTCTGTACCGCTCAAATACTTTCCACCGAGCAGTGAGTACGCAGGCAAAGGGATACTCCAGGCGTTAGCAGATGGTGAGTTATATGAGTCGTTTCACGATAATGTCCCCGTCGCTAAATCAGTTCGACTAGCTTGCTTGTACATTCAAGAAAAGATGGACAAGCTGGACACATCGTCACATCGACATTGACATTCTAGAAAGAGTGCTCCGTATTTTAGTTTGCTTTTAATCTCTCTAAGTCTTCCTGTAATAAAAGGCTACTTATCTCGTTCTCTGGCTTCATTGTCTTTCGTTTGTAGCTGCAATGGCGCAGAGAATAATCGACAAAGTTCAAAATTCTTGAGCGGTCTTACGAAACTGTTCGTGAGATTGAGCAACTGTAAGAACTCGCGGTTCACAGGTAAGCACAAAAGGAACTAATGTTCACGGCAATCGCGCTAACGATGCCCTACTAACTACACAGCTTTTATACTACCAGAATACATAGAATGTACTAGAATAAATGAGTAATGTATCACTAATAAAATGAGTAAGCGTCCCGGGGAATATGGGGAGAACGAGCGAGAATATTCATGCAAGCTCGCTCTTCTAAAAATAGCAATCCATATTCTAACAGCAACTTGATGGGAAGGACGTCGATAGTAATGACAATCAATGATGCTACGGGCAAGCCACCGACGCGACGCGTTTGTTTGCTCATGTTGCATATCAAGGCCACCAACGGCATTTTCCGTCTGCTTTACCACAACGACGACCACGACTCGACATTGACAACGTCACTGCAACCGGAAGCTCGAAAGGTTTAATTGCTTAAAACTTCTTACCCTTTCCCTCTTCTGCAGTTTTCCAGTCTCCCTTTCAGTACAGTTTCCTATGCCAGACGATGGAATTATCTTTTTTTCCTCCTTGGACAGGGTTAGGACAGGGCCGTACTGATGCGCTTCTTTCTTTGTCATGATATCCTAATCCTGACAGGTTCCCTAGTGTAATTCATGGTAGGGCAGGTTCGATGGTCCCATGGGCTCCTGGATGGCGCTTCCAATGATAGGTGCACGTTAAACAGTGAAATGCCGGGGATCGCCTGGAATGATGGAGACGCGTAGCCCAGTAACGCAGGAGGCCCGGGTTCTGTAGCACGGCAGGATGACTAGGTGCACAGGCATATCCTTTGATTTTTCATCCAAAGCTTACTTTTTTTGACCTATTAGCGAGAAATTCCAAGGAAAAGGGATACGATGGACTTCAACGATGCCAAGGATGCTTGTTGTCTCGTAGATGTTGGGTCCAAGAAGGCGCGGCTCGGATTTTAGAGAGACTACCTTGTCCTGAAGGATTTTCTGGCTGCTATACGAGACTCAATGCATTCGTGGCTCAAAGAAAAGAGCACCACACGAACAGTGTGGCAGACCGCGTGTTCTCTTTGTTCTCGGGCTAACGTAGCTGCAGCTCATATCGCGGGGACATCCCTCCTGGGCTAATGCGCCTTTAGTTGGGAGACCTTTGACAGGTAAGACATCCCATTTCTCATTGTTCTATTACTGTAGCTGATATAGGT